GAAAGGAGGAGTGTGCTGTCACAGTATGGGGAGAGCAATTAGAGTCACATAACAATGTATGTATAAATTTTTTTACGGGAAAAAATTTTAAAAAAGTGAATGGAAGAAATGATGAAGTCAAAGAGCTGAACAGAAGATTTCAAAGGTGACTGGAGAAGACAAAGTATTGTAATGAAATGTGCAAAGATCTGGAGTTAGAAAACCTAAAGGGAAGAACACGTTTGACATTTCTCAAGCTGAAGAACTGAGGAGAAAATTCAAGCCTTGAGTTGCAATATTGAAGATTCTGAGGGAAAAATACTGAACGGCTCAGGAAGCATCAAAAGAAGATACAGGGTACACACAGAGTCACTGTACCAAAAAGAATTGGTCGACGTTCAACCATTTCAGGACGCAGCATATGATCAAGAACCGATGGTATTGAAGGAAGAAATCTGAGCTGCACTGAAGGCACTGGTGAAAAACAAGGCTTCAGGAATTGACAGAATACCAACTGAGATGTTTCAACAAATGAATGCAGCGTTGGAGGTGCCCACTTGTCTATGCCAAGAAATTTGGAAGAGAGCTACCTGGCCAACTGACGGGAAGAGATCCATATTTATGCCTATTCCAGAGAAAGGTAATCCAACTGAATGTGGAAATTATCAAACAATATTAATATCACACACAAGTAAAATTTTGCCAAAGGTGATTAAAAAATGGTTGCAGCATACATCAACAGGGAACTGCCAGCAATTCAGGCCAGATTCAGAAGAGGATGTGGAACCAGGGATATCATTGCTGATGTCAGATGGATCCTGGCTGAAACAGAGAATACCAGAAAGATGTTTACTTGTGTTTTATTGACTATCCAAAGGCATTCGACTGTGGATCATAACAAATTATGGATAACATTTTGAAGAATGGGAATTCCAGAACACTTAATTGTGCTCATGAGGAACCTATACTTAGACCAAGAGGCAGTAGTTCGAACAGAACAAGAGGACACTGCGTGGTTTAAAGTCGGGAAAGGTGTGCATCAGGACTGTATCCTTTCACCATACTTATTCAATCTGTATGCTGAGCAAATAATGCGAGAAGTTGGACTATATGTAGAAGAACGGGGCATCAGGATTGGAGGAAGACTCATTAATAACCTGTGAAATGCAGATGACACAACCTTGTTTGCTGAAAGCTAAGAGGACTTGAAGCACTTACTGAAGAAGATCAGAGACCACAGCCTTCAGTATGGATGATACCTCAACATAAAGAAAACCAAAATCCTCACAACTGGACCAGTAAGCAACATCATGATAAATGGAGAAAAAGTTTGAAGTTGTCAAAGATTTCATTTGGATTCACAATCAACACCCATGGAAGCAGCAGTCAAGAAATCAAAGGACGTGTTGCATCGGGCAAATCTGCTGCAAAAGACCTCTTTAAAGTGTTGTAAAGCAAAGATACCACTTTGAAGATTAAGGCAGGCCTGACCCAAGCCATGGTATTTTCAGTGGCCTCATATGCATGAAAAGCTGGACAATAAATAAGATTGAAGAAGAATTGATGCCTTTGAATTATGATGTTGGCAAAGAATATTGAATATACTGTGAACTGCCAGAAGGATGAGCAAATGTGTCTTGGAAGAAGTACAGCCAGAGTGCTCCTTGGAAGCGAGGATGGCGAGACTTACTCTCATGTGCTTTGGACATGTTATTAGGAGGGACCAGTCCCTGGAGAAGGACATCATGCTTGGTAAGGTAGAGGGTCAGCGAAAAAGAGGAAGACCCTCAATGGGATGGATTGACACAGTGGCTGCAACAATGGGCTCCAACATAGCAATGATTGTGAGGATGGTGCGGGACCGGGCAGTGTTTTGTTCTGTTGTACACGGGGTCGTTATGAGTCGGAACTGACTCGACACCACCCAACGACAACAACCTGGTATTCACCTGTTAGTAAATAATCTGTCCGTAACCTGGTGGTGGCCTAGTAGTAACTTGACAGTTACTTGATAGTAACCTGGGATTGAGTAACTTGACAGCATTCTGGTAGTAACCAGTCATAACCTGGTAGTGACCTGGTGGTAGTAACCTGGTGGTGAGCTGGTGGTGAGCTGATAGTAACCTGGAGATAGTAACCTGGAGGTGGTAACCTGGTGGTAACCTAGTGGTGAGCTGATAGTAACCTGGAGGTGGTAACCTGGTGGTGAGCTGGTGGTGAGCTGATAGTAACCTGGAGATAGTAACCTGGAGGTGGTAACCTGGTGGTGACCTGGTGGTGAGCTGATAGTAACCTGGAGGTGGTAACCTGGTGGTGAGCTGGGGGTGAGCTGGTGGTGACCTGGCGGTGAGCTGGCGGTGAGCCTGTCTTGGTCTGAGCCCCCCAGCCCTGTAACTCCTGTCACTCTCCGAGCCCCACCTGTTTCTCTCTCACCTCCAGCTCCCCCCACCTGCCGTTCTAGAACCACTTTGTAGAGAAGCCCAGGGCAGGCGTGGCCCTGTGCCCCTCCCCTCCACCTCGCATGAGCTCCGTGTCTGTCCAGGGACCCTGGGCCGTTGAGCCACCTTGTGCTGGAGCAGGAAGGATGTGGAAACCACAGGGGAGGCTGCTTTGCCTGGGGAGCCGTTTGCCAGGTCGGTGGCTCAGTTCGGCAGGGTGGGGCGGACCGCGGAGGCCGGGCCTCCCTGCTGCTCCTAAGGCTAATCAAGGAGGGAGCCCCAGACAGTGGCTGGGTTAGCCGAGAGCAGCAACATCAGCAGGTGAGAGTGCAGAGGCTTCGCGTTCTGGTGGGGACAAGGCCCGCCGTCTCCTCGCTTCACGCAGGAGTCTTTCCTGTGACGTGAAGAACGTGACGTCTGCCTGTGGAGGACCCACGGGCTCCGAGATTCTGCGCGTGCAACGCCCGATGCTTCCCGCTGCCCAGGAAGTGGTGTGCCTGCCCCAGGTGCGGAGAGGGGCCGGGGCTTAGCTAGTCGCCCGACAGGTCCCCTTGCGCCTCTCTTGGTGGGTGGTGTCTGGCCCCGCAGCGGCATCCTGGGTTCTCAGGGCAGTACCTGGAAGCTGTGCAGCAGAGCAGGTCAGAGCTTGGACTTGAGCCAGACCGCTAGGCCTGCACCCGTACCGCACTTGCCAGCCGGCTCACCTCGCCCTGCCTCTGCTTGCTCATCTCTGTAATGGGGCCGTGAATCGCTGGCTAATCTGGAGGGCTTAGAGCGGTTCCTGGCATGGTGGGCGCTGTAGGAGCAGACCTGCTGTTACCACGTGGGCAGGTGTGCACGGTTGGGCGGACTCCGTCTGGGGGGAGGGGGCGGGTGCTGGCCTGACGGATGCTTACAGCAGAGCCCTTCCGCCGCCCGCCCCCATCTCAGCGTTCCTGCCCAGCACCGGGTAAGATTTCATGATGAAAAGCTAAAGAAAGAGAAACCCCGCGTGCACAGTGTTCCAAAGAGGCCTTCCCCGCGTTCTGTCCGATGTTGATAACCAACGCTCATCGCCCCGACTGTCCAAATGCGTTGCGAGTAGCAGTTTTATCAGAGATTGGGTTTGTGGGTGTGCTTGCCCGGGAACGGAAGTAGGTGGCTCTCTGACGATGCTGGAGGCTCTTCACGGACGAGAACGTCGGGCTCGCTGGGTGGTGGTGAATCGCACTGTCTGTGCTCTGTTCTTGGCGGGTAACAGCCGTGTGCAGGAGGGAGCCTGGCCCTTCATTCCTGAAGGACGTTCTGGGTGCCTTATAGGAGCCGGGTGTGAGGCTAGGTCCTGGGGATAGGACACAGAACCCACCCTTTGGGCAGCAGGGAAGTGGCCTCAGTCAGATGGTCCTGGTTCGAGGCTGCGCACTTTCAAGCCGTGGATCTTGGGTCTTAGCCGTTCGCTTGTCTGTCCAGTGGGGATAGTGCTGTCACCTATTACAGGGGGGTCTGGTGGTGCGGTGGTTAGGAGCTTGGCTGCTAACCAAAAAGTCAGCAGTTGGAATCCACCAGCCACTCCTTGGAAACCCTATGGGGCAGTTCTCCTCTGTCCTGTAGGGTCGCTATGAATCAGAATTGGCTTGATGGCAACGGGTTTGGTTTTTTTTTTTTGGTGTGTTACAGGGGGAGTTTGAGGATGGGTTGAGGGAGGTGTGCCCAGCATAGCACCTAGGGTGGAGCAGGGTCTCTGGAGATGGCGGTTGGCTTGGCGGCTGCCTTTGGGCCTGGGGGTGGAGTGACCGGAGGGACCCACACAGCCTGACCTGGGATCCCTCTGCTTCTTTCCCTTGCTCTCTGCGGGGAGGAGTGGGGGTAGAGGTGCACTCCCTGACTTGCTGTGGGTTTGCGGCTTTGCAGCATCATTGCCCCATCGATGGGGCTGGTAGGGTTCCGGGCTCGAACAGAGGGTGGGGGCAGGCAGGGTCTCTGTGCGAGCATGCCTTCCTGCCTGCTCTGTCTGGCTGCGTGGTGACTCGTGCCCAGCGGGGCAGTGCCTTCTGCCCCTGCTGCAGGTTGGGGACCGAGGCCCAGGAGCTTGGAAGCCACTCAGCATCGAGTCTGAGGGCTGTGGGGCTACTGGCCCCCTTCTGCCTAGCCCAGAGCTCCCCAGTTTCCACCCAGACATGCGGGTGGGCTGGGCCGAGGTGGCCTGGGAGGTTGGCGTCCGGACTGTGTGTCTCCCCAAGAACAGCTTCATGGGGACTGAAAAAGAGCAGAAAAGATGTGTTTGAAAGGCACCTGCGAGTCTTCATTCTTCCCTCTGAACAAACACGCTAATCTTATCTTTAGCTTGGGTCCCCCTATGCCGCTTAAGTAATCTGGCTGTCCTTTCCGGAGGTGCCCCGGCCACTCGGTGTCCTGTGGAGCAGGTTCTCCTCCCACCGGAGCCTGCTGACTGAGTGGGGGACAGACATGAGTCAGCTTGGGGGCTTCTGGAGAGGGCTGGGGTGACCTGGTCTAGAGGAGGGCAGCAGGAGTGACCCAGCAGGACAGAGTGGAGGAGGCCTGGCTGCGCTTGGGGAGCAGAGGAACCATGGAGCCAGGAGCCTCTAGGCTGCGGTGATGCTGGGGGCTGGGAAGTGGGTAGCGGCCGTGGAGGTGGAGCAGAGGGGTCCCCTTGGTGCCTGGGGGACACAGCAGACATTACTAATACAAGGTCAGCTGGGTTAGCCTAGGAAGGGGCTGCTTTGGGGAGTACAGTCATGCCCCCAGGGGACAGAGCTCATGTTGGGGAATGCAGTCACTGCCCCTGAGGACCCCATGCCCTGGCTGATTCTGTCCTGGCACCGATGCCCTGTGTGGGCCAGGCTGACAGGATGGCCATGAGCTACCTTGGGGCAGGACTGAGTCTGCTCTGGTTCCCTGGGCCCAGGACAGGGCTGGCCCACTGTGGTCTCAGGGGTCACAGGTAGAAGCATGGGGCAGAGGTGTGGGCCTGGCCTGGACCCTTTATCTTCCCATCACCCCGCTCCCTCCTGCAGCTGGGGTGTATTAACTTTATCTGCAGATTGTCTGCTCTGGCCAAGGCACTGGTCACTGAGGGTTCAGCCGGATGGAGAGCCACAAGGCCAGCTGCTCGGCCAGCGTGCTCAGGCTGCGTGGAGAAAGCATCAGCTCTGAGCAGCTTCTCGGAACCCCTGCAGATCCGGGTGGAGGGACCTGGTTGGTGTGATGGCGATCAGATGTCAGCAGCCTCGGACTAATGTTTCAGAAGGGTTCACCTGAGGGGAGGGAGTGGGGCTGTGGACCCTTGCGTGGCCTCATGTGGGGTGGATCCTGGGGAGAGCAGTCCTGCCATGTGGGGCCTGTGGACAAGAATGGGGGAAGTGCTTTTCTGCCACTTGTCGCATAATAATGGAAAGTAGCAATGACACCTGGCCATTGAACACCTATATGGCATCACAACAGACACTTAAGCAGTCTCGAGTCAAGTGTTTCCCACTTAATGGAGGCGTAAACCGAGTGGAGGCGTAGCCTTCCAAAGCCAGGGCCTGTCTGCTCATTTGGTCAGCACATGAGTCCTGGCTCCTGCTGGCCCTGTGCAGGGAGATGAGATGTGGAGGTGAGAAGCTCAGTCTGCCTCAGGGTGCACCTGGTCTAGGTGTTTTTGAGGCTGAATTGCCAGCATCCAGGACATGTAAAGATTTCTCTCATTGTCCCACATCATCGCTGTTTTGCATGTGTGACCTCGACATTCAGTCCTGAGAAAACACTGAAACACCCTGTTATGGTGTATGTCAGAGAAGGCTCAATATCCTTCCCTCGCTCAGCTCCCTGTTGGCCCATCCAGCAAAGGCAGATGTTCTTACATGGCTCAAAAAAATAAAGATGTCGCTTTGATGACTCAGGTGTGCCTGACCCAAACCTTGGTCTTTTCAGTCTCCTCGTATCTATGTGAGAGTTGGACAGTGAAAAAGTACAGAGCAAGAATTGATGTGTTCAGATTGTGGTGTTGGTGAAGAATATTGACTATACCATGGACTGCCAGAAAAACGAACCAATCAGTCTTAGCAAAAATACAACCAGAATACTCCTTAGAAGTGAGGATGGCGAGACTTCGTCTTGCTTACTTTGGACATGTCGTTAGGAGCAACCAATCACTAGAAAAGGACATGTGATTGGTAAAGTAGAGGGTCAGCAAAAATGGGGCCACCTTCAATGAGATGGATTGACGGTAGCCACAACAGAGAGCTCAAACATATCAAAGATCATGAAGATGGTGAAGGACTGGCAGTGTTTCATAGTTATATATAAGGTCACCATGAGTCAGAGCCAACGCAAGATAGCTAACGAAAATATTGTAAAGAACCCATGGTAAAGGTGATGATGGTGGTAATGGTGGTGATAGTGATGTTTTTAGTGTAGGTGGTGGTGGTGGTGGTGGTGGTAATTAGTAGTGTAGATGATGGTGGTGTTGATGGTGGTAGTGAAGATGGTTATTGTGTTTACGATGGTGGTGATGATAATGGTGGTGGTGGTGATGGTGGTGATGGTGATAAGGTTGGTGGCTGTGATGATAATGGTGGTGGTGGTGGTGATGGTGATGGTCTTGGGAGTGACCTCTGATGAAGGCCTTCCCCCGCCCCCTTTAACCTTTCCTTTGATGAAGGCTTCTTCCTCACTACCTCTTTAACCCTTTCCTCTGATCAAGGCCTCCTCTCCCTGCTCCACAGCCCCCAGACCCACCGACTCCTCTTGCTATTGATTTCGCTTTGTCCTGGACCCCTCCCTGAACCCCCTGCCTGGAGCCAAGGCTCCACAGTTCCCGGGGCCCCTCTTGGAGCTCCAGAGTTCTCCCTCTTGCTGGTGGTCTCCCTTTTGGACTGACACTTTCAGAGGGGTGGGGCCCTCTCCCCCAGTACCCCCAGGTCTGGCTCCGAGCTGATGCCAGGGGCAGGCTAGAGTGAGTCTGAGTTGGACTATGGGTACTGATCATAGTTCTGAGCCCCCCTGCATGCCCATGCTATGTTAGGCCCCAAGAGTCCCACATCTACACGACAGGCCCACCCTGCCCCCTCAGAGCTTACATACTAGTGGGGGAGACAGACTCTGTGCCAGCAAACACACAGGGAAGCACTTACAGAAGGTGGTCAGTGTCTTAGCTATCTAGTGCTGCTGTAACAGAAATACCGCAAAGGGATGGCTTTAACAAACAAATTTATTTTCTTACAGTTTAGGAGGCTACAAGTCCAAACTCTAGAGTGCTGGCTCGCAGGGAAGGCTTTTGCTCTCTGTTGGCTCTGGAGAAAGGTCCATCTCCATCAGGGCAGCCTTTTCTCAGCTGTGTCCACAGGCAGCCCTCTCTCTGGCCCTCTGCCCCTTGGACCCTCGGCCCAGCTTCTGCCCTGCTCGGGCAAGTATTACAAAGCTCTTTAGCCCCACCAATAAGTGTCCAGAGGCACCCCACTCAGACAGGAAGCCTTCTGCCTGAAGGCACTCAGCTCTCTTGCTCTGTGCTGGTCTTGTGCTGGTC